TCGATCAATCGTCTCGCGCGTTCGAATTCGGAAGGAGACGGCTCGGACGAATGCTCATCGCTCGGTGACATATTCGGTCGCATGCTTACACTTGAGGCTTCGACGTGCTGTACACACGGGTGTGTCCACAGGTACAGTGGTTGGCGCGTGTCGCACTCGGAAGGAGAGAAAGAGAGACCGTGATAGCCGGAGCCGGACGCACACACGCAAGCGAGCGTCGTTACACGCGGCCGTAATGCACACGGTATCGATCCGTGTTTTTGCGCCGTATGACAACTCGTTACGGAACGCTGATCGAAGCGCGAGCACAAAGTACACAATTACGGTATGTTCGCGGCGAGCGCTCCGCGTTCTGAAAGAAAGAAAATTGCCGAAGAGTTTCGCCTTTTCGCCGTGCTTAATTCCTTTCCCCCTCGGCGGCCTCCGCCCTCCCGTTCGTCGCATCGTCTCTCCTTATCCGTCCGCGGTGCCTTTATCTCTGCCCTTTTCTCATCGTCGAAAGAGGAGCAAAAGCGAAGAGAGGCGGCCGTCGGTGCTCGTCCAAGGGCTCGTCGTCGTCGGCAGAAATATTAACCCGACGTTTTCCCGCTGATTTCACTTTAATATCTACCGCGGGACGACATCCGTTCGCCGACCCGGCCGCCGGCAAAGAGCGCAATGAAAATATTTCGTTAAGTCGTCGTAGGCCGACGATATTAGCAGAGGAATAAAGGAGGTCGATAAGTAGATAAGACGTATACGCGAGTCTTTGGCTATGAGGAAAAACTGACGACTCGAGTGCGTTACATGGTCACGGGCGACGAGAGGAGCGCGGAAGAAACGGGAAAACGAATCAGCCGGGAATCGAGGACGATAATAAGGGAGAAGATAACACGAGATGGAAAGTCGGCGTGTTTTCGTTACACTCGTTGCGCGGATAATAAGCCTGACGGATCGAGAAAGCCAGACTGCTGCTCGCCTTCCTCGGCTCGCATCGCACCGGAACGAGGTGTTTTTAATTGACCTCGTCGAACCGCATCGCTCGACCCGATCCTCCTTTTCGAAAGCACACGGTCTCCACTGGCTCGGGAACGGAAGGGTTAGATCGAAAGGGAGGTTGGGAAAAAATGTGCACTCGACATTTACCGTAGCCGTGCTCTATTTTTTCCGAGTCGAACCCCTCTTCGAGGCACGCGTCCTCGCAGGCTCGCAAATTTAATAAAAAAGATGTTAGCTTTGAACGTTGTTCGTTGAGAATAACAGTCAGATAGAATTGTACGATAACGCCGCCGATCAAAGATTCGTTCGATATTCTCCTTTTCTGGGGAGCGTCACGGGGAAAAAGTAGGCGAACGGAGTGGCTCGACGACGCTGTGGGCCAAGCCCCGTCTATACGTGCGGTACGTAGTGAGCGAAACGAGGAGAATTAGTGGGTCGACGTGGCACGCGCGGTATCGATTCGGGTTTCCTTGTAGCAGCCGGATGACAGGCCTAGGGTAACCCAGGGTCCGTTTAATCGGGATCGCGTTATACGTATAGGGGTGGGCACGAAGGACAGGTTATGGTGAATCGGAATGCAGGATTAGTCACGAGCAAGCTTGCCTCTGGGTAACGACAGCTGCTACCACCATGCATCCACCGTCGTCGTCATCAACGGCGACTATCGACGCCATTAACCGACGGATATACCAGCACCGATGGTTAGTGTCATCTACGTAGCGCTTGCCGCCGATTCCGCCCAGGTAACGTCGACGGGCCCCGACTACCGTCAATGCGAGGGCTTCCTCCTCTCTCTCTCGCTCTCCGAAGCGAGACTCCGACGTCGCGGGGCTTCCGACCCTTTGCAGAACCGATGAATCTTCCAGAGCCGAGTGAATGACGTTATCGAACAGGAGCGAGCTTACACCCTCGCCGAATTCTTACCGGGATTTATCGCGCGCTCCGGGGATTATCGTCGCGTCTTTACGTTGGCCCGAATTAAACCGAGAACCACGTACTCGTGCTTTCCGATAAGGCGATCCTCCAGTCTCGATGAATATCAAATCTGGCGAATTTTTTTTTTTTTATTTACGATTGCAGTCTCGCGAGAGGAGAGGAGTCCGACTATATATTTAACTCTGGCAACGTTCGGCCGCTCCAGTTTTCGCTTAAAAGTAACTCGGTGCGTGAGCGCGTTCGACAGATGCGCCGGTCGTGCAAAAAGAGGTTCTTTGCACGCTTTTTCCGTGCCCCGCATTCCCCCGCGGCGCGGCGCGGCTCTTCTTCGGCATTACGAAACTGTGCAATTTAGAATCGTTTCGACGTCGCGTAATGAAAGTCGCGCGAGCGATTCCTGTGACGCCGCGCGACGGAGAGATCGCGGGAAAAGGGCCGATGTATAGAAATCCGGCTATTCTCGATTTTCGAATTCGGACAAGTACAACGATTTATGCGTTTAACTATCCGAACGTCGAGAGAGCAATGCCGATGCGAAAATAGGAAGAAGTCAATAGCGAACGGCAATCTGGAACGAAGTATGCAAACGAATTCAAATGCTGGCCGGTAACGAGCGGAGCCGAGTGCAAATGGAGCCGCGGAATTTCGCAAAAAAAGAGAACGAACTGTACGGAAACTCGTTGACACGAATTGGACGCGTCTGGTAATTGCGCTTGAAAGGAAGAAAAGATCCGGGCGGATCGAGAGGTACGAACGAAATCGAAAGTCGGGCGAGCATCGGGCAAGTTTCGCGAGGGGAGAAAAATGGCGCGGCGAGAAGGAAGGGAGAGGGAGCCAGGTGGACGATCGTCCGAAGACGGTTCGGAGGATGTTGGGACCGTAGAAAGGGCCGACGAGAACGGGGACCGAACCGGACTGGACCGGACCGGCCGGCCGGGTCCCGCCACTGCCGCTTGGAAGACCGAAGATCGGGGGACCGAGGGGTAACGGGGCGAGAAGGCAGAAGGGCAGGTTGGCCCAAAAAGTCGAGCACGAGTCGAAGAACTCCGGGACGGACCAAGGACCGATGCCGGTTTCCTCACCCCTCCCTAAACCGCTCGTTCCCTCTCGGCTCCGTCCTTTTTCTACTTCGGTAGGCCCTTTCGTTCTACCACTACGCGCTCACGGTCCCCGGGCTTCTCTTCGTCTTCGCTCGCTTCTTCTTCTTCTTCCTCCTCTTCGTTTCTCTCGAAGAAAGACTCGGCGTCTCGGTCTCGTCGGACGCTTGGTCGTTTGCGCGCGACGAAGAGGACGCACCGTGCGCGATCCCCGAGCCGAAGCGAATCGGAGGGGCAAGGGACGACGGAGACGGCACTGACCTAAAGCAACGTGCTCGGTAGAGCCAGGTCCGAAAACAACGGGGAGGGAAAGAATGCATCGCATTGGATCGAAAAGAGGAGAAAAATTAATGGCGCCGCTGCGGCGAACGCAGAATTTGTCGACCCTTACGCGCGTACGTAAAGAAAATCGAAAGTGATTTTCAGAGGGTTGATTCTAAATGTTGAAACGAGACGAGCAGTGACAGAATTGCGTTTGGAGGACGTTTGTTCATCGCGGATCGTTTTCCCGAAAAGTATTCCGCCAGGATTTATAGAAACGGTCGTCGAGCGGAAGAAGTTGGCGAAGAACCTCGAGAAGATGGATGGCAATTCGCAGTTTTTCTTCGCCGGGATCCTTGGCACGCATCGCGAGGACCGCGACGGAGGAAACGTGTCAAGGAGAAAATAGGAAGGGAGAAGAGGGTAAGGGGCGAAATCGTGGGGGATGGAGTGCGTTCCGAAGGCGATACCGGTCACAGGTGGGAACAGCGGAGGCGAGGATGCGTTGTTTGCCCGTGGCAGATGACGCCACCTGCACGGGAACGGGAACAGGAACGGGGAACGGAGTCGCTGGTGCAAATAGAATTTCAAGAGTTGCACATTAAACGCTTTATGTCGGTGGCGCGCAACCTTTTACGACCTCGCGGACCGTCTCTGTGGTAATACCGCGAGGACCTTTTGAACGGCTGCTGCGAAGTAACGGCGCGGCGGCATCCCCGCGAAACTTCAACCCCCGGATAAATAAAGAATGTTTACGGATTTTTTTACGCCCGCCAGAGAAGAGCGGCCGAAGCTTAATAAAACCGACGGCCCTCGTTGCGCGTCGTGCATCTCCGATTCGTCGATGGGAACCACTCTGAAACGCGCGTGCAAACTACCCTTTGCAGAAACTGGAGTTCATCGTGGAACGACTGTCCGTTCGTGAGAGAAAAATCTGGTGAACTTCAAATACTGTTGAAGTATCAGCTTAAAGGAGCGCTGGAGACGAGATCCTAGCCAACCGTCCCATGACCCAGTTCGAGAGAATCCAGCGACGAACATTACGACAGTGGCAACGTTCAAAAACCCGTCTCGTACTCTACTTAGAAAAGCGTCGATAATTAACGCGCGATACTACAAGCGTCAGGTGGTTGTGGTCGATGTTATCGCGTAATGCGATTAACAGCGGGTCGAGGAATTTCGAAATTTCCGAACCCCTCGGCCTTGAACGATCCAACCCAGAGGCAGGTCTCGTCACTTTATAAATGAAATAAATTTGCGACTCGTAACAGCCGGTTCGCAGACTTCTCTGTGTCGTATAGGAAATGTAAAATGACGGGGTTCTCTCGTAACGAGCTCGTTCGTAACGTATGGTAGGTAATAGTGGGTACGAGAATTTCACTCGCTCGTCTTTATTTATAAAATACCGAATAACAGAAGATATTCTGATATTCTACGTATACTGATTTATCTATAAGTAGCACTTTACTACGAGACACGGTCCTGTGCTTTTAACTAACAAGTATGTACACGTAATACGTATGTAACGTACGAGAAACCCAATATCCCGCGTGCACGCCGCGTCGCGTCGCGTCTGCCGATCTACATACGTTCAGCCGGACCGCGTACAGAGAGAGAGAGAGAGAGAGAGAGAGAGAGAGAGAGAGAGAGAGAGAGAAAGAGAATCGAGCGATGCAATGCCCGGCGGATCGAAAGAAGCACCGGCAAACGCGAAGAAGGGAATAAAGAGAAGGAGAAAGAGAATCGGCGCGGCGGCGCGTACAACGAACGTCGAACTACTTTTTGCCGATGTCCTCTACCGCGTATACATCTCGACTCGTCGGGCCATCTTTCGCAGCCCTTTCCTCTCTCCTCTTCGCGTCTCTTCTTCCTCCTCGAGTCGTTGCACTTATCCCAGCTGGCGAAGCCTCCGCACCCGATCCTGCCCGCTCGGCTTTGGTCTCCACTCCTCTATTTCTCTAGATTTCAAAGCGCTCAAACAGGTTTCAAAATCCCGCCCGCGGAAAAATCGCGTGCCTACCTCCCCGCCGCCTCTGACCGCTCCCTCGGCACTGTTCTTCGTCCATCTCGGTGCGCGCGATCCTCGTCGCGCGCGATGCAACTCGTAAATCGTTGATTCGCCGCGTGGCGTAGACCGACTTTTCGTCGCCGATGTCCTCGCCATTTTCGACGCTCCCTTCGCCGCGCTAGCCTTCTGAAATTAATAATGGAAGTGCCGTTGATCACTCGTACCATTACTGCAGATTTTTACCGACCATTGAAAAGAAACGAATGAAAGTACGAATGAGAGAACGGGGTTTTCACCGGTTCAACGTTCAAAAATCGCGAGAAGGGGGTGCGGCGCCGCGGCGGAGGTAGACCGAGCCGAGAGGAAACAATGCCAATTTAAGCCACATGCATCTCTCTGGCTTCGTATTTAGGTGGATAATCGGCTTACCGAGACGGTCTGCCGGGCAGCCCACTTTCAGCGTACCGTCGTCGTCGTCGTCGTCTCCGTGATAGAGTTATTCGCGCGTTCGTCGTCGATTTTTCGCGCGACACGCTCACCGATCGGTAGAAATTTAAAAATTGTTCCGCGAGACGCAAAGTCACGTGAAACAATCGATCGCGTGACACGCGTCCTCGCAGTCAACTGGGAAAAGTTAAAGCGGAGAAAGTATAGCGCAGGTCGTTTCGAGGTTAAATCGTAAATTGAACGGTTTCAAAGCTCGATTCCGGATGAGTTGCGATAAGCCGGCTGTTTCGAAACTACCTATTGTTCGGAACCGTAGCGTCGAAAAAGCTGGTCGGACGTCGGTTTCGGGGGATGTAAACATGAACGCGACAATTAATTTCCCCGATAATGTAGCTAGAGAGGAGGAGACTCGATGCCGAGCGCGCGATCGATGCGATTTACTCGCTTCTATTTATCCGTCGTCTATTTGTTGCCGATACTATTACCATTATTATTAAACAATTAAGCGGCTTATTCGACGCATGTAACGGCAAACAAGTTACGCGATCTGCTAAACTGCCGTGATCGCATTAGAATTTATTAGCAACGTCCGGGCGTGTTCACGTGGAAATCAAGAAAGAATAAATCATACGCGTCGCTACGTAGTCTTCGTTAAGACTTAATTACCAATTATGAGAAGTGAAAAAATAAGAGGCCGCCAGAATTTTTTCGTCGGTCGGTCAAAGGTACGAAGTTTCGAGAGGAAGCGACGTTCTCCGGTCGACGATTATATTCGAGAGGGAACGCTCGAGTATCGAGGACGGGAGATATTCTCGAATGCAAATATCGACGGGCATTTTTATGCGTCTTGCCCCGTCGCCGCACCGTTCCGTCCCTATTCTCGTTCCGCCGCCCACGGTTAAGCGTTTGAGCTTTCGACGTTGACTTGCAGATCGCGGGCCGGAATTTGAAATTTTAAAGCGTCCATCTTTGCGCGCCATTTGCTATCTGCCGCAGTCGTCGTCGACGACGAAAATTGGCCCTTAGACCAGCCAGACGAAGCTGCGTCGCGAGCCGCTCGTCCCGCGAAGAGGCTCGTTTCCCGTTCTCGCGATTCGAATACGAACTTCGGTTAATTTTACGAGCACCGTCAAGCACCCCCCCCCCCGGATCGTATTCGAGTGGAATCCGTTAAACTGCCTACGAATTTATTCTACGCGCGTGTTCGCTAAAAAATTAAGGAAACACAGAAACGTGCCACGAACTCTATCACCTTCGATCCGTTTTCGACTGCCATCTCGTCGACTCGACTATGTATCTCGTGAATATCAGCGAGCCACGTATTGCTGATGATATAAGCGGATCGTCTCGAGATCCGTTTCACGGTAAAGCCAGGAGGTTCGATTCTCGGGATGCATAGCGATCGGTGGATCGCTCCAATTAGCGCGAGAATATTTGCGCTAAAATTACGAGTGTCCGGGACGAAACCTCGCCCAACCGATAGGTAATCGATACAAAAGTCCACAAGGGTTGGGCCGCCTTAGTGGCCCTGCTCTCGCTCTCTCCGCTCGCCTTTCCTCTCTCTTTCGCTCGCCGCAAACGCGTAACGAACTCCGTAGCGAGCGCAACCGCTTCTGGAACCGAGTCGACTACCGTGCGGGAAATAAAGAAGAAAAAAAAAAAGAAGAGGCGACGAATGTCATCCCGGCTGGCCTGTGTCTTTTTCCACCCGACGACGTGGCACCATAGAAAATTTAACCCTTTATCGCGTCACGCACCATTTGCGCCGTATCGGGCCGACATCAGATTCTTTGCCTCGCCTCAAAGAGCCACGCACGTTTCGCGGCCGATTTTAACTTTAGCCATCGCAGCAACAACGCCTCTCTTCCCCTCCCGGTTATTCGGTGAAAGACGCCTAAGGTCCTTCATTCCATTTATAAATATAACGCACTCTCAACGAGTCAATTTTCTATAATCGATTGTACGATTGCTCGATTTACCCTGGTTGGCATGTTTTCCCGAATCGCCTTATGGGTTTGCTCGATCGACGACGATTCCGGACGGTGAATCGAAAGCGGGACGATCTGCGCGGTGTGACGCCCCACCGCGTTCATTAATAATATTTTTACGCATATTACTACGTGCTTCCGGCCAAGAGACCTCTCTGTCAGTCTGCAATTGTGCGCACGAGCGGCGATACGTTCGTTCCCGGTGACGTGCGTGCGTGGACTCGTGCTTTCCGGTCGTATACCGGGTGCTCCCTTTCCGACTCGATCGCGTCTTCGCTCTCGTCCGAATCAACTTCATAAGCAACGGCCACCTGACGATGGCTATGCCACGATTTGTCTTTTAGATATACTATTTAAAAAATGTAGACTGATTTCAACGCGATGGGGGAAACTGGGAAAGTGAGAGATCTGAACAAGGCCCTGCAGTCTCGTGAAATGATGCGCGACGGGAACAATGAGTCAAACGAGATGTAAAACGTTATTAAGAGCAACCCTGAAAATATAAAAGCGAATGGAATCTCGTAATACGTTGTGCCGCCGAAACGAAGCCACGGCTTCGGCCTCGTTTCGCTTAGGCGACGCGCGATGAACGGCGAAGGAACGGAATGGAAAGGAAGGGAACGTAGCGAAGAACGTGTTGGGAGGAAAGACTCGCGCGGACAGAGGTAGGAAAAGGGAGACCGTAGAACGGGACGGGGGTGGAAGGGAAGCGTCGATCCCAGGGAATGGAACAGCGGCGAAATAAAGGCATCCTTTTAATGGGCAATACTAATCAATGAAATACGAAGCCACGGGGAGTAGTAGGAAATATGCGTGCGGAGAGAGAACCGACGAAAGAAGAGAGAAGAAGAAAGGAGGAACGAAAAGAGAGAGAGAGAGGACGTGGTCGAACGCGGCCGTGCAAACAAAGGGGGTACACGCTCCTCTCCTCTCCTCTCCTCTCTTTCTCTCGCCGTTTCTCGCTTTATTCCTTCGTCTCGCTTTCTCCCGGGGGGGAACCCTCGCGCTTCTTCGTCTATCTCCCTTCGTACGTCCATACCCCTCGTTCGCGTTCGGTGTTTCCCTCTTTTTCCCTTTCCGTACGTGTACGCGTGTTGCACGCGTGTAGCCGCGTCTTCGTCGGTCGGTGGCCGCGCGACGAAGAGGGCAGGATATTTTTCAGGATGGGATATTTAACGCGTTGGCCAGGTCAGTAACCCCGGGGAGCCGGGGCCCCGCGATTGGCCGGCATGCTCGCTGTTCTGCCACGAATTCCCGGCCCCTCATTGGCCGAGCCGGGCCCTGGACCTACACCAACACCCTGCGTGCCACGCACGTCCTACGCCACGTACCGAACCCGAACCTAACCGCCGTATTGCCGGCGTGCGTCGTTGCATCGAGTACATTCTCGCTCGGTATACGTACGCTTCTCCTCGACGTTCCCGCGTTTCGCGCCTATGCGCGCACGCACCGGTCGCGAGTGCGTCTTCGCGGTGCGTGCGTCCGGCTTCCACGCTCCGACTCCGGAACACGATCCACCCGCGCGCCCTGCGCTTCGCTCCCACGTGGCTCCACCAAATTCGAATTCCCCCTCACCTTCGACCTCATAAAAGTACATTCTCAAACTTTCTCCGGCGCGTAGGTGAAATCGCACAATGGAATATGTAATATGAGCAGCTAAATAAAAATGAATTAGTTTGTTTTTCGGCGCGGGGGCTTTCGCGGCGTGAAAAACCACGGGTTGCGAGTTATACGTTTTCACGAGGTGGGAATATTTTCATGCCGCCCCGTATCTGGAATTACATCGTTGCGGGATGGCGTGCCGTTATGGATCCGTGCGTAATTCACGTGCCGCTGCATTACCGAAATTACGGCGGATGATAATATTACGATGCATTTCAATCGCGAAATCCCCCGACACTTTTGCAAGTGAAATCCCGGCAATATTAAATTCGCATTCGGCCTGCAGGCCATCTGTGTTTGCGCATTGTCGTGCACGTATTAAATTACAAGAAACGGTTCGCCCTTTCGCGATTAGACCCGTCACAAGCCCGAATTCACCGACGCAACGACGGGACTTGACGCGTTTTCGAGTTCCATCGGCGAGTCTTTTGTCTGACCGCGACGTCTGACTCTACTTCGACGTAAAATCGTAAGAATCTTGCGTTAGCGGGTACAATTATGCATCGTATCGATTCGCGTGTAACTAGAGAGACAGATATCTGCTGCCCGGGACCGACTGTACCGCTTCCAGCGATACTTTCATGAATAATTGAGCGGACGACGCGATATAGCTTCGGCACCGCGAATCTGTTAATATTTATTGCACCTTCTCGACTCCCTTTTTCTCGCCGATCGATCCGCTCCAGTAGGGATTTCTCTTCGAACTAGCTGCCACCGGGTCGGTAAACTACGGCGTACTGGAATCGCGTAGAGATTCAGGCGAGGCGGCGATCTTTTTCTTCCATTGACGGGGACGAAACGCGTATGCGCTGACCTGGGTAGGAACGTGTACGCGAAACGGGACATCGCTATAAATAGAGTAAAGCGCGAGATGTGGACGTAGGCCCGCGAGTCGCCGGGCGGCGCCACGCCGGTTTATCGCGATCGTCCCGGCCGTGACGTTTCATCGGCGAGACGATAAGATCGGGAAACGGTGGACGGCCGTTTAACGAAACCCGTATCGCCGGTTGTAGGGTTAAAGGAAGGCCAGGCCGTATGGTTAAGGGTCGTTAACGTCGGCGTAACGGGCAGGGAGCGCGAGGGAAGGAA